CCACTTCTCACACATACAAACTTCCAACCACCATCACCACCATCTCCCAAAACTTCGACAACGCAGAATCCTTCTACCGGTTTCTTCCGTCTGCACGGATTCATCAGGAAGGTACGCTACAACGAGCGTTTCTGTCGAAAGAAAGGCCCTTAGCCTTGCCTCTCGTGGTTATATGCTCCCGGGTATGCCTAGGTAACTCCTATCGTGTTCCGTACTATCGTAAAAGACGCACGTTCCCCATCTTTGGTTACTCTGGTACTCCTTCCTACGTTCACAAGCCAAAATAATAATAATTCTTCCCTATGAACCCAGTCTGCCATCTGGTCTAGATACGACGCAATGGTCGGAGTGTATGACCCACGAAGTCCCGGTGAGAGATATCTTCGGAAGCAGATACCTTGTTCCCATGAACTCAGTCTGTACCTGGTCGAGATACGAAGCAACGGTCCGCGGGCTCAGATCCTCGAAGTTCCGGCGTCGGGTCTCTCCGGAAGTAGTCAGACCAAAGGACATAAAGGCACACCCAACTGTCTCTACCCCCGCATACGTGTCGCGTCGGTACAATGGATACGAATAAAAGAAAGAAAGAAAGAAAATGAAAAAGGAAAGAAAATGAAAAAAGCAGAGACAAGAAAAGGACAAGAAAAACAAGAAAACACACACACAAAAAATGGAATATCCGAGACGTCTCTGGACCGGTATCGGTCGTGGATACGTGCGGTACCCTGGTATTGGACGGTTCCAGCCTGCCCCTCTTACGGGCCGCAGTACCAACTGCTGTTATCAACCGTCATTACACAAGGACCAGCATACTCGGATCCTTCAAAAATTTCTCCGCCGGCCTTCGAAAAAACATCACTAATCATCATCCTTAGGTAGTCGAGAATCTTATCCCCCGCAACCTTGGCCAATTTGGCCAAGGCCCCGAGAGAGACCTCCGGGGGGCATCCCCGGAGGTAACTTTCCACAATCGCGTAGGAGACCGCGCCCACGCTTAGTGCTCCGGAAGTCGATGAGAACCATAACCTCTTGAGTGTTGCCGTCAATACACCCGCCTTCGTCCGTTTGTTAGAGTAGCTTGAAAAATCCTGCATCGTCTGATACCTCAACTTGTATCCGAACCTCAAAACGTTCGAATTCTTAGTATCCTGTACGAAATGTACCCGAACCGGGTTCGTGTCCACATACAGCGCCCCGCCAATGAAATCCCACGTGTTGCTACCGTCGTGCTTCCGTACCAACTTGAGGTTCGAATCATAGGCCTTCTCATACAGCTCTATGATCGTTTGTGCCTTCTGCCATGATGCAGCATCGTCTCTGCCGCCGACCAGTATCGAAACGTCATCCACCATCCTCCATCCTCTCGCCAATCTGCAGTCAGATCCCAGTGAGCGCAGGAACTTGGCTTCTGCCATCGAACAGGTAACTGTGGTAAGCACCGGGCTCATAGTCTTCCCCATAGGAATCCCAACAGCTTGTCTCCGAATGAGCTCACATCATCTCATAAAAGCATGTGCAAGATCATACTCGACCATCTTAAAAATCGTGTGCAGCTTGACCTTCACATATCCACCCTCTCCTTTCCCTGTCCTAGAAAGTGTACACAGCCTGCCTCTCAAAGTCACTCTTACCTGCTGCCATCCTTCATTTTCGAAATGCCTGATCAGTTCGAACACGGCATCCTTGATGGCATTGTGTGGTATTGAGATAAACATTTCCTTAATATCATAACACCTGCCAATAGCAGTGTTGCAGCCTAACTTGCTGAAATAAACACCAAGCTCAGAGAGTTCTCGGCATAAAGTCACCGAGGAGTTGAGATGGAAATGTTTGTACTGTCCATACCTAGTGATGAGGCAGTACAGAGCCCTAGCACATCTCTTCTGTCCCAGCATCGCCGGATCACAGCATGCTGGTGCAATGGGTCTCCATCTCTGGAGATCTTTATCCTTGGGGATAATGTACGCATTCCCCAATTTCCCATCGTTCTTTCAGACGCCGAATGTAGCTAAGTCCGAATTAATGTAGTCACGTTTACAATCAGCAAGCACTTGCTTCTCTTCCTCATTGACCTTCACGTAATCCTTGTTCCAAGCAAACATCTTGCCATAGGCATGTCTATAGAGGACAGGACAGACCACGGCAGTGTCGCCGAGGTTACGATCGACTGACGTAAGTACTAGGCCCTCAAAACGAGTCGCCCACTTCTTGATTTCGGTGTCGGTCCAGGTTTCCCCCTTCCGTATCGAGTCATTGAAGCAACGATCAACATCAATCGTAGCCTCCTTGCTGTGCTTCAGGTATGCAGTCCCCGCCAAAATCCCTTTGACCAGTTCGGACTTCTGAAGCTTGTCTACGCTCAGCGTCACATTCCTAGAATTACGAATAAAAGTTGGTACATTATCCATATCCGCAAAACGCGTCAGAACGTGACCCTCATGTTTGTCTAAATTGTAACCTGAGCATGTACACACAGTCGGTAAGGTGTGTGCATACTTCCTGTGTGTGTGGATGATCTCCGCCACCGTTCTATTCTTGGTGTTAACGATCCGAAGCTTCCTCTTGACAAACGTGGCGATGACAGTGTCTACTACGTAGGAGTCTATCACCTTCTCCGTCACTCTCCTAACCTCAGTCTTCCTGACCGCACTGCAGTAAGGATATTTTACCGTAGTCTTTCTTCTGATACTAACGCCCGTCTTCTTCCTCACTACCTTGTCTAACTTCAGTTACTTCACCTTGAGCCAATTCCTAGTCTCCTTTTTCCCAAAAAGACCATCAGTCCTGTACAGACCTACCAGCCTATGTGAGGTGTATCGTCCAGGGGTGGTAGCCATACGCGGTTGTCTGAGCAGTTTCTGGAGCACGAGCTTGTTCCTTTCTGTCGTAGTAGTAGTCCTCCGAATGTCCACAAACTTGACAATCCCCCCAGATTGGCATATCGACTTGCTCTCTTTCCGCAAAAGGTTCCTCCCTTCTATAAGTACGGTCAATTCTCCGTACTTAGCAACCACATTAGACCACCCATCGGTCCACGAACATCCCTCACAGAATTCAACTACGACGTTCATATCCTTCTGCAACACTTTATCATCTAACCAGTTCACCAGTGAAGTACGCTCCTTGTCCCTCAGTTATGAACTTAACTACCTTCTGCCCCACCGAACGTGGTACTCTCCTCTTTCTTTCTCGTCTTCCCTTTCGTCGTCTCGCCCTTCTTCCAGCCTTCCCCCCGACACCCATTACGTTAAGACTCGGAAACAAGTCCCAAATGAGGTGCTTTTCGAAGACGAAGTCATCTTTCTCCGTCGTATGACGGATGGGTAAAATTACAAACTTCCCAATCCCGAAGCGCCTCATCCATCTGTACAGTTGCGGTGATTTTCCTAACGCCTTCGAATTAGCGGCCATAAGGTGTTGTCTCCACCTATGCAAAATGGGACGAGCAGTACACCCAACGTACACCCTTTTCGACCATGGGCTAACGATAGCATAGGTACCGCCAGTCTTCAGATCCATTGTAGCATCAGCAACGTCCATCTTATCTAAGTACTTCCCCAACCATTTCAGTTCCCCACTCAGAGCAAGTAAGGTCGTGGTAGTGGCGATACGCCTTTCTACGCTGGCACCCGGCTCACCGGTGACACCCTGCCCCCAAAGAGTCTCTCTTTTGGCCAAGCAGGTACCTAGCGTCATCCAGAGTTCGTTCTTCGAAGGGGGCTTTGATTGTCAATCCGATTCGGGAGAAGACTCTGGTGCAGATTCCTCAGGTGTAGCGGAGCGCAGTACTACTCTCGGTGTCTCAGTCATCTTTGCCTTCCCCCTCGTGGTGATTGAGGATTTTACCATCTCCTCGGGCGTCTTCTGGGCCCGCAACTTATCTTCACCAATCCGCAGTGACGTGGTTTTCTTCGAAAGTGGCGTGGTAAAAAATCCGTCGTATGCGACTTCAGTCTGTTTTCTCGCCAGTTCCCTCACCATCTCATCCTTCTTAGCCAGCTTAATGCCATGCTTGCCGCACATCTCCTTCAGCTCAGATTCTTGGTCTACAGTTGCTTCATAACCGACAGCGTATAGTCTATCATGCCTTCTTGAGAGCAACCGGCAGCAATCCCCTTGTAGCCCTTTGTAAGCGGCGTCTTTGGTTCGGCGTCGTTTCCCGGTGTGGAAACCGGTGTGTATGAGCGTTTCGAACATTCTCCTCTTTCCTGGACTGTAGAAGGTGCCTTCCTGCTCTCCTTCTTAGTGTTCGCTTTCTTCTTCTTGCTTTTGGTTTTCCTCTTCACTTCTCGTAGTCTTCTGATCACCTTCAGTGTCTCCCCTTCAGAATCAGTGGAATCGTCACTACTTGATGTGGAACTTTCTTCAATTTCTGAGGATGAGGACATGACAACCAATCGCCCGACCTCCTTCCTTCGTTTGCTTGACCCTGTAGGTTTCTTCTTCTCCTTTCCTCTTTGAATGCCCTTACTCTTAGGTGAGATCTTCGGACTCCTAGGACTCATAGGACCCTTCCCATCTCCTACCACCGATGCCGCTGCTTTGATCTTCTCTGCCGCTTCCTCTTGCTGCTTCCTCCACTTCTCCGCGATCTCCGCCTGTAATTGCAGTTGCATCTCCTCGGTCCTCCTTGCCAAATCTAGTTCTCGCTTCCTTACCTTCTCCAACTTCAACCGTAGCTTCTCTTCTTCTTCTTCTCGCTTGCGTTTCTCCTCTCTCTCTTTCATCAAATCCCGAACAAACAAGTTTACCTCATCATCTTGCTGTGCAGATCTACCCCTCTTGGCCCAACAATCTCTCGCAATATGCCCAAATTTCCCACATTCATAGCATTGTAGTCCATTCGTTCTTCCTCCCCCCGCGCCTCCATTCCCATTATTGCCATTCCCCCCATTATTCCCGTAGTTGCCTCCACCATTGCCGTTGTTGTACATGATGTCAGAGTATTTGTCCTCCTTCCACCCGAGAAGTCTCAGATCGAACTGGCCGAATCTCCTCTTGCCCGCTGATGATCACTGGCGCCAGATTTCCGCGATCTCCACTGCTTTAGCATAACACAACCTTCTCCTAGGTCTCAATAGCCGTACTGCTCTCCGAACTCTAACCAATATGGCTTGGAGCTGTCTCAATATCCTTGAGCGTGTCCGGATGTTCACGAGCTGTCGTACAGTGTCCAAAACGGGCTGTAGTGTCTGCTGAACGTAGCTGTCTAGTAACGCCACCAGCCTTGCCCTGATAGCCGTCTCGGAACGCCTGCACCTCCCAATTACTTGACCACATCTAACACAAGTTCCCGGCATGTTATCAAAATACCAATCCCAACAGAAAAAAAACAACACCGATACTCAGCAGGCCGAATCCAAAAAGAATAGAGCGTATCGTGGGTTTCGTCCTCATTGTAACACCTAAAACTACGAACGATTACTAACTCTTTCGACAAACACGTACTCTGCGTTATATCTAGCCACTCCAATCAAACCGTATTGATTCCAACAAATACCGTCCGCACCTACTCAGTCACGACCTACACAGAAAACCAGTGACTATGTGATTCGAACAGCACCACCGAAATACCAAATGCAAGAAGCTAAAGAACATCACAGCCACCGTCAAGTATGTATACTTCGGTTACTATGCTCCCAAGAGTGGTAGACTGCGGCAAAACAGCCTAGAAGGGAGGGCACAGGTGTTCGGAAAACAGTACATGCAAACTTAGGAACGAACCATACACGACTTCGAATAAACTCGTCTGAACGAGCTCAAACTTCAAAACATATATGGAGTTCCACTTCTCACACATACAAACTTCCAACCACCATCACCACCATCTCCCAAAACTTCGACAACGCAGAATCCTTCTACCGGTTTCTTCCGTCTGCAAGGATTCATTAGGAAGGTACGCTACAACGAGCGTTTCTATCGAAAGAGAGGCCCTTAGCCTTGCCTCTCGTGGTTATATGCTCTGGGGTATGCCTAGGTAACTCCTATCGCGTTCCGTACTATTGTAAAAGCCGCACGTTCCCCATCTTTGGTTCTCTGGTACTCCTTCCTACGTTCACAAGCCAAAATAATAATAATTCTTCCCTATGAACCCAGTCTGCCATCTGGTCTAGATACGACGCAACGGTCGGAGGGTATGACCCACGAAGTCCTGGTGAGAGATATCTTCAGAAGTAGATACCTTGTTCCCATGAACTCAGTGTGTACCTGGTCAAGATACGAAGCAACGGTCCGCGGGCTCAGATCCTTGAAGTTCCGGTGTCGGATCTCTCTGGAAGTAGTCAGACCAAAGGACATAAAGGCACACCCAACTGTCGGAATCCTACCCCCGCATACTTGTCCCGTCGGTACAATGGATACGAATAAAAGAAAGAAAGAAAGAAAATGAAAAAGGAAAGAAAATGAAAAAAGCAGAGACAAGAAAAGGACAAGAAAAACAAGAAAACACACACACAAAAGATGGAATATCCGAGTTCATACTTAGCCTAAAATATCTGTCTCTGGACCGGTATCGGTCGTGGATACGTGCGGTACCCTGGTATCGGACGGTTGCAGCCTGCCCCTCTTACGGGCCGCGGTACCAACTGCTGTTATCAACTGTCATTACACAAGGACCAGCATACTCGGATCCTTCAAAAATTTATCCGCCGGCCTTCGGAAAAAACATCACTAATCATCATCCTTAGGTAGTCGAGAATCTTATCCTCCGCAACCTTGGCCAATTTGGCCAAGGCCCCGAGAGAGAGAGAGAGAGAGAGAGAGAGAGAGAGAGAGAGAGAGAGAGAGAGAGAGAGAGAGAGAGAGAGAGAGAGAGAGTACAAGTCGACACACTGGCTGCAATCAAAACACAACGGGATGGGTTCTTGAGATAATCACGCAGAAAGCACCCATCAGGCTCGAACCGAAATTTGGCGGCGCGCCAATGGTCATGAAGCACATGTCGAGCTGGGTGGCGATGTACCCTACATTTTCATCTGGCCGCCAGCGCCGGATTCTTCAAGGGTCTTCTACGTCACAAATTAATGACAGAACCATCATAGTCAAGCTTCAAGTACTCTAGGGTGCTAGGTCTAACTAGTACGTAGCCCAAAAATCAGAACCACGGAAAGTGGTGACTCGTCATTCCCTCGTCCGGAACTCAGCCTAAGACTTACTGACTCTCTAGTACTGTCACAAATAGACCGCAGTTTACCCCGGTGGCACACAAATATCGGTGCCCCTTTGCACCCTTTGGCCCCCTTTGTAAGTTGTAACCCTTTGTCCACTTGCATGACTCAGCAAAAAAATGGCAGCACACAAAGCAGTGTGTATCCCAACCCATCAGACATTCAATCCAATCTGGCCAAATACCCCCAAACTCACTAGAAAAATTCTTCGGGACCCCGTCAAAGAACTCATCCTTAAAACCACGCAATCTCAACTCAATCTTCAAAGCAAATAAGAAGCTCAACTCAGCACCTTGCATGTCCGTAAACCATTAGGCCCTATGCAGAAAAGATCTGACAACAACCATCTTCTGCTGCTTGTCTATATACGAGCATGCATCCTGCAGATTCTGAAAAGCTATACGGTCTATACCCTGCATAATTCTTCTCTGTTTCTTGTGAACGGCAGCACATCTAACGCCTACTTGGTAGTAAACAAAATTCTTGACAACACAGCCTAAAAAATCCCAGCAGCCCGAACGATCTGTACATTCCAAAGTCAGGTTCTGGTCATAGCTTTCTTCAAAATTTCTCAGCATCTGTTCTGCCTTCACCCGCGAACCCTCGTCATCAAGCTTGAACTTGGCGAACACCGAAAAGTCATCCACAGAACACAGTCCATGGAACAGCCTCTTATCTTTTCCTTCTTTTTTTTTTTCTTTTTTTTTTTTTAACTGAGGGGGTCGATGCCCAAAGAATCAATCTGTATCCAGCGAGGGAAGGAAGTAGCCGGAGGGGAAGCGAAGGAGGAGTGGCAAATCCCGCTGAGAAACTTGACAACAGCTGGAGCGTTCTTCTTATCCTGCCTGTTGACCCCCTCCGAAAACAGGATAATCCACCAAGGCGGGAAGACAACCACAATCCGAGCCCTCCCAGGAGAGGCAGTTAAAACGCGAGATGCCGTGTACATGAAACACGCTAGTAACTGGGCATTTCACGACGATGCGGCCTTTAAGTCTACAAATGATAAAGTAGGTTGGATTAGGGAGCGGCTAGCTGCATTTAAAGGCTCGTCTGAAAGTGCACGCAACCACTTTCTAATCCAACCCGCCTCTTCCACTGTCATCACGGTCATCCGCGTGTCAGTCTCCGACAAGAGAACAATGGACAGTTAGGCGATCTCTGCGCTGCGAGAGATCGGAGGTACGCATCCATCCCTGGGCCCCCCTAAACCACAGCGGCTGGAGGGATGGAGGGAGCAAATGATGAGAGAATCCTTTTGGGTCGAATTCCGCCATATACCAATTGAAATACAAGCTGCTTTTGTTCAGGATTTTGCACAGAAGTACGATGTGATTGACTTTATTGACCCCCCGCCCCGTAATGTTGCCCGAAGAGATGACTATCTCATGCTTGCCATCAACCTGGCAGACGGGTATGTATTTTCAATCGATGATGTCATCCCCTTTCAGGTGGGAGGAAGGATTTGTCGCATCCACACCGCCCACAAGCACCGGCCCTGGTGTTTCAAATGTCAGGCATACGGCCACCTGTACACAGAGACAGTCTGCGCCCGTCACCCTTCGCGCGCATCACGACCCACAGGGCGACTGAAAAAGGATCCCTTTGATGAAGCACGGTGGCGCACTGTTGACCCCGGGTATGAAGGGTGGGTATACATTGATGCACTGGGACAAAAAGAAGGAGAAGTGATTGGATGGTCATGGGAAGGACAGGGTGAGCCACGACAAGGCTCCCGACCTCCTACGTCATGGGCCCCCCCTAAATCCCTGGAATCCCACTTGGGGCAGACCCCCATAAAAGCGAGATCTCGCGAAGAATGGGTGGAGGTGGGAAAGGGGAGGAGAGTGCAGGAGCGCAGCGAGACGCAGGAAATTGAGGGGGGTGGAGGCCAAAAAGAAAACCGCTTTAGCCTTCTAGGCACCGAATCGGGCAGGCCAAACTTGGAAAAACAAATGGTAGGTTCCAAACCTGGACAAAAGGAAGACAACAAAAAAGCAGAAGGAGATCCAAKGGCAACCCAAAATCACAAAGGAAAGGTGGCACTAACGGAAGGGGGGGGGGAAGGGGAAACAGGTGAGATAGAAGTGACCACTATCGAGGAAGCGGTGACTAATAGCGAGAAAGAGGTGGCTAATAACGACTCGCGGTCCTCGCAAACGGAAGAATATCAGCTGCAACAAACGAAGGGGCTGCATAACCAAGGATTGCGACTGAAGCAGCAGGCAAGGGCCCGGCCGCCGCTACCCCGAAACAACAATCCCCACAACCAACACAAGATCAGCAACAGATGGAGGGTGGAAGTACGCCTGCAATATCCCCTGATTTTTGCTCAGATGCATTTGGGGCACAACCGATGGAGGTGGACGTTACTCCCCCCCCCCAGGACGTAGAGATGGAGGAGGGCCCGAAGAACCCGGCAGACCCGGATGCCCCCCCCCAGGAAATGGGCCTGGACCAAAAAATCCAAGTKGTGACGGATTGGATAATTAAACACTTGCAGGCTGAATTTCCCTACGAAGGTGAGCAATACTGGGATTGCTCCTACGTCGAACTTGTCACCCTCCTCAATAACAGTTCGACACTTAGGAATGCGTTGTCCACTGGCCCTCCTACTCATTTGACATGGGCAGAAGCTTTTCAACGCATACTTGCCGTAGCAAGGGGCCGCTTACGTCCCCCTCCCACCAAGGAATCCCCCGCTCCACGCCAAGACCCTCTAGCACAGGAAGGGCACACCCAGCCCGCCCCAACTGAGGGAAAGGAAAGCACGGGAGACACGGAAAGCATGGAAGGACTGGACAAAGGACTGACCTCCCGAAGACTCAAGATTAGACAACTCGTAGAGCGAGGTCTATTCGAAACCCCCATGTCCAAACAGGAGGGAGTTCTGGTGGCCCCCCTGAGAAAGACCGATGGGAAATGGGAGAT